TTGATGTGCATTTCATTAGTAAATGTCCCGAAAGTAATTGTTTCCTTGTTTTTGCCAAACACTCGCTTTTGATGTTAATATTTAAACCAAAAAAGTGAGACATTAATCAATCCATTGTTTAACATATAATTTTAATCCATAGTTGTGTTAAATAATCCTAATGTTAATCCAATATACGTTATAAAGTAAAACAATCATTAAATCAATTGCTTGTTATCCTGTTATGAATGGATTATACAAAAGAATATTAAGAATAATTTTAATCCATAGTTGTGTTAAATAATCCTAATGTTAATCCAATATACGTTATAAAGTAAAACAATCATTAAATCAATTGCTTGTTATCCTGTTATGAATGGATTATACAAAAGAATATTAAGTAAATAATTGTAACTCTGATTGACTCTAAACTGTAATTAAGTTTTTATTTAAAAGTCTAATAAATGAAAAGTTAAAAACAGTTACACTTGAAAAGTATACAAAAATGATTATTCAGTTTAAATAGCAAATGAAGGTATCGTTCAATTGGTTTCGCGTTTATCACGGATTTTAAGACTAACGGAAGGATTGTTTTAGGACTCGTCGGTGTCGTCGATCTTCGGCGCCAAATAGTAGCGAATGAAACCAATGTTTGACGGATTCTCGTCGTCGTTATCCGATATATTGTACTCAACAACTGATCAATAAAAACAAAATCATTTAGTTTTATTAGCAAATCATTTGTCACCACAAATGTGTTAATGAGTGGAAGAGAGCGCTCACCTAATGGTACGTCGGGTGACATCGAGAGCGTCACCTGCGATGAGAGTGGAGTGGCTTTCGCGAAGTGATTCAAATACTTGAGCGCAAACGACTGGCACAACGCCTCCTGCATAGAGATGGTGACCGCTTCCTCGGGTTTATCCGAAGAGGCCGTTTGAGCCAATCGTATGGAACCGGAGCCGAGATCGCCGGCGGCGCCAAATCGGACGCCATCCTTAGCGCACGATATGGTGACCGCGTCTCCGATTTGACTCAAATCACGGCAAATGCGTTGAAACTTATTGGCCGGCAATTTGATGGTCACGTTGTATGTCGTGTCCTATAAATCGAGACAATAATCGTTAAGACATTACTTCATAACCAGAAATCCCGAATCCAATCGCTTACCGGAATTCCCAAGTATTCTGAATCCAAATTCATTAGTTTAATCTCATATTCAGCCACTTCTGACTCGTCTGATGGCCGAAGACATTGATAGACAAACAAACAAAGGGTTAACACAAACGCCGCCAAAAACATGGTAACAATTATCACATACTTTGGGCCTCAAAGAGAAGAGTGATTTTGTCGCCGCCGTCACCGGCTTTGATGATAATCGTGTCGTCATTGGCCGCGCATTTGATTATCTTCGAGAGACTGTTAAAAGTAAAACAATAGACAATGAAATCGCTCTCTAATGGTATCGATTGAATGGATGTGTTAAGTGATGGCCACAGACCTAATCAGATTCATGCCGAGCGTGAGGTTGCGATCGCACCGGTATTTATCAAAGCCGTCGCTATTGAGTGAGACCGACACCAGAGACACGTGACTCGTGTCCATCGCCTGCAAAGACATACCATTGGGAC